GCCGAAGAATGGAGTCATGGACTGAGACTGATCGCCCAAAACGTGTTCTTAGGCTACCAAGACAATATTCGTTGCATACAATATCATTCAGAGGTCAAGGTCAAGGTCAGGTCAGGTCAGGTCAGGTCACCAAAAAACAAAATATATAAAAGGGCATGTGCGACACATGTTTTATGGGTCATTTTACTCATAGAATTCAATAGGCACACTCAATAAGTGATATGGACCACCTCTGGATGAATTTCAGGTCGAGGTCAGGTCAAGGTCAGGTCAAGTGAGGTCAAATTTTGAAGTTGGTTGTTAAGGGCTAAAAAGGTGTCTATCTGATGCAGTTTTTCACGGCGAATCGAATGGTGCTATTTTTGTTTCCGTACGAGGTCTAGAACTTCCAAAAAAGTCATTTTTCAAAAAAATTGTGTGTCGTGACGTCATAAAATTTTGAATAACTCCCACATTTTTGAACTGATTCTTCTAAAATTTGGTATGTAGGTGCACATAGACAACTTCTCTGACATATATTCCGGTTTTTTCGATAGACTCAAAATTTTGGATTTTATAATGATTTTCCCAAAAAAATCAGTTTTTTGAAAAATTTTAGGCCAAAATCCAAAATTTTCAAAAAACCGAGACAGCCATTTGATAGACAAAGTAAAATTACGTATAACCTTTTTTGTTACGTCTTGATTCCTTTGAAAATAAAGATGTTAGCGGCGTTTGAACTTTTGCCGTTTTTGAGGCGAAAATGGCGAACATGACGTCACTGAAACGTCAATTTCTCAAAAATTTTCCGACGGATTTCGCTCAAATTTTCAGGGAAGGTGTCAAATTGATGTAAGAAAAGGTACTGAAAGTTTGGCGGCGCTGCGCGCAACCGTTTTTGAGATATCGCAAAAATTCGTGAGGGGGTAAAATTTACCCCCCCAGCCCCGCGCGGGTTAAAATACTATACATTAGAATTGTGTTTTTCTATTGAAAAACAAATCTGAGTTCCCTGACAATTTGGCAAAAGCTGCCTGAGATCTATCATATTTGTTTTAACCCGCGCGGGGCTGGGGTCTCCAGCCGAACGCGCGGGGCTGGGGGGGGGGGGTAAATTTTACCCCCCCTGTTATCTCCCAAACTAATGGTCCGATTTGGAAAATTCAAACGCCAATCGAAAGCTCTCATCACGAACTACTAAAAACATGTACTTAATTTAAAGTTTGAGGTCAAGGTCAAGGTCAGGTCAAGGGTACAAATTGCAAGTTTCTACAGTATCGGCCTTGCACCGTAGTTGCCGAAGAATGGAGTCATGGACTGAGACTGATCGCCCAAAACGTGTTCTTAGGCTACCAAGACAATATTCGTTGCATACAATATCATTCAGAGGTCAAGGTCAAGGTCAGGTCAGGTCAGGTCAGGTCACCAAAAAACAAAATATAGAAAAGGGCATGTGCGACACATGTTTTATGGGTCATTTTACTCATAGAATTCAATAGGCACACTCAATAAGTGATATGGATCACCTCTGGATGAATTTCAGGTCGAGGTCAGGTCAAGGTCAGGTCAAGTGAGGTCAAATTTTGAAGTTGGTTGTTAAGACCTAAAAAGGTGTCTATCTGATGCAGTTTTTCACGGCGAATCGAATGGTGCTATTTTTGTTTCCGTACGAGGTCTAGAACTTCCAAAAAAGTCATTTTTCAAAAATTTTGTGTGTCGTGACGTCATAAAATTTTGAATAACTCCCACATTTTTGAACCGATTCTTCTAAAATTTGGTATGTAGGTGCACATAGACCACTTCTCTGACATATATTCCGGTTTTTTCGATAGACTCAAAATTTTGGATTTTATAATGATTTTCCCAAAAAAGTCAGTTTTTTGAAAAAAATTAGGCCAAAATCTAAAATTTTCAAAAAACCGAGATAGCCATTTGATAGACAAAGTAAAATTACGTATAACCTTTTTTGTTACGTCTTGATTCATTTAAAAATGAAGATGTTAGCGGCGTTTGAACTTTTGCCGTTTTTGAGGCGAAAATGGCGAACATGACGTCACTAAAACGTCAATTTCTCAAAAATTTTCCGACGGATTTCGCTCAAATTTTCAGGGAACGTGTCAAATTGATGTAAGAAAAGGTACTGAAAGTTTGGCGGCGCTGCGCGCCGCCGTTTCTGAGATATAGCAAAAATTCGCGAGGGGGGGTAAAATTTACCCCCCCCAGCCCCGCGCGGGTTAAATAATTGATTGCCTTGCATTATTGCACAAAAAGTAACAAAATTCCAAACGTCAGGGCCACTGGAATTTCCAGTTTGTAAGTACAACGTTTTCTTCCAAGTTTTTGGTCTTCGTGAAACAGAAAGTTGGCGATTCCGATGCTTCTTGCAAACTTTTTTCTTGTAAAAAAGTTGGTAAATTGTAAACTCAAAATTAATGCTAGAAGGTTTCGTGAATTCCAAATTTCAATTGATGGTAATTATTTCTTTTAACCCGCGCCGTGCTGGTGGCCTGAACTTTCCGCCGAGTGCTGGGGGGGGCGTTTTCACGCCCCCCCGTCTAACTCGGCTCCTGGGCCACGTAGCGACACGCGGTAAGCGGCAATCGAAAGAGCGTCAAAAATAAGGACGAAAACACTTCGGTCATTTTTTGGGTCAGGTCAAAGGTCAGGTCACCAGAGGTCACCAAAGGTAAAATGTTGACTATTTCAACATTTTGGAAACTGCCAACGGCTATCTCGGGAACCGATAGAGCTACAGCGCCGCGGAAAAGCGCATTCGATAGCCCTTTTACAGACCTTTCTGAGTAATGTTCTCAGATTTGACCTCAGGTCAACGGTTTAGCCTCCAGAGGGCAAAAACTCCAAAAATAGCCGTTTTTACGAAAAACGTTTTTTCGTCAATAACTTTTGACTCATAAGCGCCATGACATTACTTTTGCCAGCATCGTGTTCCTCTCGTCGAGACGCGTCGAATGAACTATTTGTTGACCTTGAAAGGTCATTTTGAAAATTTGACCTCAGGTCAAGGTCATGACCTGACCGAAAAGGGTCATGTTGCATATCAGTCGATCCGTATCGTCGAGCTGAACACATCTGACGTGTTTTCACCGCTCTAGCACGTCTCTATCAAAAGTTATAGCCAAAAAACTGCTGGCGACCGTTCATGACCTGAGATGACCTCAGGGGCACACAGAGGGGTCACAGGTGCATTTTTCCTATTCAGTGTGTCATGTTTACCTATGAACCGATGTTTGAGAGCGTTTTGAACGATATTCGTCCAAAAGAGGCGCATTTCAATTTTCTCCCATTGACTTATAATGGAGAGGTCGCAAAATTGACCTGACCTTAGGTCACAGATATCAAAAATCCGAGATATACATTTTATACATACTGTTACTCATATCAATCGCTGAAAGTTTCAAAGTGATCGTTCAGTCGGTGTAGCTATAGCGAGCCTTTGAACTTTTTCTGAGGTAAGGTCACTTGACGTGACCTGGTGACCTGACCTTGAACGGCCTAGGTCTGAAATTTTCACAACATGTGCGGAAATGATGTAGGAACACGTGTACCAAAAACGGCGGCGCTGCGCGCCGCCGTTTTTGAGATATTCGCGAAAAACCTGAGGGGGGGGCGTAAAAACGCCCCCCCCCAGCACGGCGCGGGTTAAACTCAAGTTTTTCTTTGTAATTACAAACTGTATTTGTTAGTGAAACAGGCCGCTGTTGGCACCTATCCTGAAAAATTCAGGTCTCAGTTTTTAAGTCAGAGGCCTGTTTCACTAAAAACTTGCAATTACAAGTGTTTGAACTTTACAATTCATAAGTATTTTTGCAAACTATGTAAAATCGGATTTCACTAAACTTCATCACCAGCGGCACCTCCAATAAAAAGAGTTGGTAAATAAACTTGTAAACAGTAAAATTGTTTTTAATCAAGAACTATAACATGTTACAGATCTTGCTTCTTTTTATCAAACTATGTCTAGTATTCATGTCAGAAATTGCAAGAATAAATTAAAAATAATGATGCTGTTTCTGAATAGTATAAATGATAGTTCACAATATCTTATTATTGAAAGAAAATAACACGTAAAACATTTGACAGCAGAAGACTGTTGAATGCAATTATGGCGCGCGAATGACAAAACATGACGATATTTATTTGTTGCTCGTAGCTGGTTCGTAGGGAATGTGCTAAGTGAAAAAGAGCATATAATGACTCAGCATATCATATTTGTTTTAAATAATTGATTGCTTTGCATCATTGCACAAAAAGTAATAAAATTCCCATCGTAAGGGCCACTGGAATTTCGGGTTTGTAAGTACAACGTTTTCTTTCAAGTTTTTGGTCTTCGTGAAACAGAAAGTTTGCGATTTCGATGTTTCTTACAAACTTTTTTCTTGTAAAAAAGTTGGTAAATTTTAAACTCAAAATTCATGCCCGAAGGCTTCGTGATATCCAAATTTCAAATGTTGGTAATTATTTCTTTTAAACTCAAGTTTTTTCTTTGTAATTACACACTTTATTTGTTAGTGAAACAGGCTTCAGGTCACAAGGGGCCCTATTCACGTCGATCATTTTTGTAAGAATTTCTTATTTTGACGAACGGCCCAGTAGTTTCGGAGTTAGGAGGGGCGGCTATAGAGCCCCCCCCCCCCCCCAGTAGGGCGTGTTATACGCGGACCCCAGTGGGGCGCGGGTTAACCCGCGACTCGCGAGATGCTTGGGGAGCGCCCCACTGGGGTCTGCGTATAACACGCCCTACTGGGGGGGGGGGGGGGGCTCTTCATAGCCCCCCTCCTAACTCCAAAACTACTGGGCCGATCGTCAAAATTCAAACGGTATCTGATAACCCCGGAAAAACTGTCGAGCGAAACCTAATTTCATTGACCTCGAGGTCACCGATGACGTCACAGGTCAGGTCAAAGTAAATATTATTAGCATTTTGGCTTGTTCACATTTTGGGCCGCCCCCCCCCCCCCCACACACACAGGTCGGCCTGATATTGCTCACCTGATGCTCACCTGATATTCGCCGCCTCCGCCGTGGTCGGCTCCGGTGGACAGAGCTCAGTACCGTCCACACACTGTTGGACCACCCGCTCTGTCGACTGACCCGGCCGGTGGACGCAGTGCAGCTCGTGCGGCTCCGGCTCCTCCGTCGGCCCTTGTCCCGGTCTGGAACAGCGCCGGACATAAACACCCCGAGTCGGTGTGTCGGGAGAATCCCCGTGTTCAGTGAGCCGGCGGCGGCGGCGTTCCAGTCTGATGACGTCAGCGGGGGGTCACCATGGATTGTGGATGTGCAGTGACGCCATTGCTAGTGGCTGGGGCATAATCAGCTGACGGTCCTGTGTTAACCCGCGCCCCGCTGGGGGGGGGGGGCAGAATCTGCCCCCCCCCCTCCCGTTTTTCGCCAATAACTTCTAAACGCGTTACGCCAGCGACGTCAAACTTTCAGTACCTTATTATACATCAATTTGACACGTCCCCTGAAAATTTGAACGAAATCCGTCGGAAAATTTTTGAGAAATTGACGTTTTAGTGACGTCATGTTCGCCATTTTCGCCGCAAAAACGGCAAAATTTCAAACGCCGCTAACATCTTAATTTTTAAAGGAATCAAGACGTAACAAAAAAGGTTATACGTGATTCCACGTTGTCTATCAAATGGCTATCTCGGTTTTTTGAAAATTTTGGATTTTGGCCCAAAATTTTTCAAAAAACTAATTTTTTGGGAAAATAGTTATAAAATCCAAAATTTTGAGTGTATCGAAAAAACCGGAATATATGTCAGAGCAGTGGTCAGTGTGCATCTACATACCAATTTTTAGAAGAATCGGTTCAAAAATGTGGGAGTTATTCAAAATTTTATGACGTCACGACACACAAAATTTTTGAAAAATGATTTTTTTGGGAAGTTCTAGACCTCGTACGGAAACAAAAATAGCACCATTCGATTCGTCGTGAAAAACTGCATCAGATAGACACCTTTTTGGGCCTTAACAACCAACTTCAAAATTTGACCGCACTTGACCTGACCTTGACCTGACCTCGACCTGAAATTCATCCAGAGGTGGTCTATATCACTTATTGAGTGTGCCTATTGAATTCTATGAGTAAAATGACCCATAAAACATGTGTCGCACATGCCCTTTTCTGTATTTTGTTTTTGGTGACCTGACCTGACCTGACCTGACCTTGACCTTGACCTTTGAATGACATTATATGCAACGAATATTGTCTTGGTAGTCTCAGAACACGTTTTGGGCAATCAAGCTCAGTCCATTCTTCGGCAACTACGGTGCAAGGCCGATACTGTAGAAACTTGCATTTTGTACCCTTGACCTGACCTTGACCTGACCTCTGACCTACTTAAGCAAAAAATTTTGGGCTCTTAAGATCCGCCTTGTTGAGAGCTTTCGATTGCCGTTTTCCCCGTCTTTCTACGACCATCGGTTCGGAAGTTAGACAGGGGGGGGCAGAATCTGCCCCCCCCCCCCCAGCAGGGCGCGTATGGCTGAATAGCCCAGCGGGGCGCGGGTTAAAGCAATGGGACAAAATTTTATCGGTATTTTTAGAAAAAAAAACCTGGACCTAGTTAGATAGTTTGGGGGCCAGTTTCTAGGTAAACTGAGTATATTCTATTTTTTTACACCCAAAAATGCTATGTTATAACCCGCGCACCGACGGGGGTCTGCGCCAACTTAGTACCGACGGGGGGGGGGGCGGATGACCGCCCCCCCTGAGATCTCGAGAACGAAGCAAGATAGCGACAAGCGGTAAACAGCATCGGATACGCACGGACAAGGTCTACAATTTTTACTAAGGTCATTTTCAGGTCAGGTCAAAGATGACGTCACAGGGGTCGAAAAAGTCAAAATGGCGGCGCTAGATATGGAGAGGGTTTTTCTCGAATAACTTTCGAAGTAGTCAAGATAGGAACAAACTAAGGGCATCATCGTGATCCTCTCGTCAATCCGCATCGAATGATATATATGTTGACCTCGAAAGGTCAAGGTCAAAGGTTGACCTCAGGTCACGTGACCTCGAGGTCATCATGCATATCATTCGATGCGTCTTGACGAGCTGAACACAATGAGACCATCCGCGCGGCTGTATCTTGTTCCTGTAAGGAGTTATTGGCAAAAAACCTTTGGTGACCTTTGATGACGTCACATGACCTTACAGCTGCCCAACAGCAAAACAGACCTCAAGGTAGTGAAGGTTGATCGTATGTGAAGTCATGTATGGTATATGAGGCCATTCCGACCCGTTTTAGTGGTAAAAACAGGGAGTTGATTTTTCCCCCATTGACTTATAATGGGGAGGTCGCGAAATTGACCTGACCTTAGGTCACCGACATCAAAATTCCGAGATATACAAATTGTAGCTACTAATGACCTAATAACATCCTGCGACTTTCAAAGGCCTCCGACATCTACTGTAGCTCTGGCACGGTGACAAAGTTGCAAAAAAGTGACTTGAGGTTGGGTCATTCAAAGTGACCTGGTGACCTGACCTTAAAAGTTAGGAGGTTCAAACTTGCACACCATGTGTAAAATTGATGAGAGAATAGTCATACCAAATTTCGCGGCTATCCGCGAAAAACCTCAGGGGGGGGGGCGGATATCCGCCCCCCCCCCCCGTCGGTGCGCGGGTTAAAGCGGAAAGGGCCGAATTTCGCGAAATTGTTACGGTCGGCGAACTTGACGCACCAAATACATGACCTTGAAGACGCGAACTGCGACTGCGTTAGGAGGATTTTGGTACGAAAGGTTTGAAATATTTGAGTTTGAGCTGGTTAAACATTTTTTATTTGCTAAAAGCAAAGGAGAAAATTCACCATATTAGTTGTTTTGTAAATCTTTTTTATTTTAAATCTATTATTCTAAACCTCTTGATCCGAAATGTTTTGTATTTCTGCGTCAACTTCGCCGTCAATTAGGTTTTCACGAAATTTTGTACCTTGCGTTATTAGATTTTGTAATATTTTTTTTTCATAGAAAAATAAACCATACATCGTTGTCGTAAATCCAGCTACTAGTTTAGTTTAAGTTTAAGTTTAATATAGTGAGCTATGGTAGACAGGGTCTATTCGGGGCTCACTTCGAGCATTAAACTGGGCCAGACTGGGTAACTTAGGTACTGTGGATGTTAAAGAGAGAGGATAGCGCCGTAGTGGTCCTGAGCTTGTCTAGCCGGTTCTTGAAAGTGTTTGTGTTTTCAGACATTATGATCTCCTGAGACAGCTTGTTCCATGCTGAGACTACTCTGTTTGCAAAGAATTTTGCTCGAGCTTGGGTCCTGGACCTCCGTATCTCAAGTTTGAGCTGGTGACCTCTGGTCGTCCTTCCGTGGTGGCTAGTGAAAAATTGACCTGGGCGTACGTTCAATCTCCCCTTAAGAATCTTAAATGTTTCTATCAAATCTCCTCTTCTGATCCTTTCTTCCATATGTACTTGTCATGTTTAGTACTTTCAAACGTTCTTCATATGGTACTCTTTTCAATCCATGGACTAGTTTAGTGGCCCTCCTTTGTATTTTTTCAAGTGCTTGCATGTCCTTATTCAAATAGGGACCAGCCGCTTGCACACAGTGCTCAAGATGAGGTCTAACATACACCGAAAAAAGGGTTTTGAAGTTCTTCACTGTTAGTTGACCAAAGGTCAGCCTCAGTACCCTGAGGGCAGACATGGCCTTGTTTGCTGACTTAGAACAGTTCAATGAAGGTTTCAGTGTGTTGGTAATGTACACTCCAAGGTCCTTTTCTACAAGAGTTTCCTCAAGCATTTGTGGCCGCCCAGTTACTGTTTTCATTGTGTAAGTGAATCCAGGATTTTGGGAGCCGCAATGCATTACTTTGCATTTTTCCAAATTGAATTGCAACAACCACTCTCCAGACCACTTGGTGAGTATATCCAGGTCAGCTTGCAGCTTTAGAGCATCACTTTGATTACTAACAGGTCCATACAACTTGGTATCGTCTGCGTACATTTTAATCTTGCTTCTGACCAGGCTTGGTAGTTCATTGACATAAATGATGAATAATACAGGACCTAACACCGAACCTTGGGGTACCCCACTTCTGACTCTGGACCATGTGGACAACTTGTTACCAACCGAAATTCTCTGGGTACGGTTACTCAAGAAGTCTGATATCCAAGCAAGGACTTCTCCCTTGATAATAAAACCTTGCAGCTTCACACAGAGTCTTCTGAGCGGCACAGTGTCAAAAGCTTTCTGATAGTCCAGGTAAATTATGTCAAGTCCTGCTCCCTCATCTACTGTCTTGGTCCAATCCTCAAGTGATTCTAATAAATTCGATTGACACGATCGGCGTTTTACAAACCCATGCTGGTGAGGTGATATAAAGTCATTCTCTTCTAAGTGGTTGATGATGTGCTTCTTTACTATTCTTTCGAGCATTTTGCAAACTTGACTTGTAAGGCTAACGGGCCGATAATTATTGGGTCTTGCTCTCTTTCCTTTCTTGAACAATGGAATGATGCATGCCTGTTTCCAATCACCAGGGAGCTCGCCAGCAGACAGAGACTTCTGGAAAAGCATGGTCAGAGGAGAAACCAGTACCTCAGCACATGATTTTAGCACCACAGCTGGTAACTCATCAGGTCCACCTGCTTTGCCTGGTTGCAGCTTTTGTAGCTCGCGTAGAACTTCTTCGGAAGTGATTGTGATGCTGTTCAATACAGATGAATCACTGACGGCCTGGGTAAAGTTTGGGATGTTTGTCATATCCTCATCAACAAATACAGTTTGAAAGTACTTATTCAGCTCTTCAGCTGTTTCATAATCGTTTTCAGTTAACCCGCGCCCCACTGGGGGGGGCTATTTATAGCCCCCCCTCCCGTTTTTCTGCAATAACTTCAAAACCGCTTGACGGATCGACGCCAAACTTTCAGTACCTTCGGCTGCATCAATTTGACACCTTGTGTCAAAATTTGAACTTCGTAGCTACCATATGTCGGCCGGAAATGACGTCAGAGTGACGTCATGTTCGTCCGATTTCGACGCAAAACATTGAACCACGGCAATCGCTCCCAAGAGCTCAGTTTTTAAGCTAGATCCAATTTCTTTGCATGAAAGAACTCAGAATTGACCGCGCTATCAAACTGCAATCTCGGATTTTCAAAATTTTGAAAATTTCGAAAATTTTATATAATAATATTCAAAATTTATATTTTTATATTTTTTTCAAAAAGTTTTTGACTTTTCGAAAAAACCGGAATATATGTGACAGAACGCATGATTATGACTAACTCTAGCAAGTTTTAGCTAAATATCTTCAAAAATGGCCAAGTTATACGCATTATTGCAAAAAATTCACAATTATTAATTTTTCAAATCAATTTTTCAGTACGTATTTGGCATCGTACACCAATATAAATGGCACCATCGTGTTCCTGAGCTCAAACTGCATCCAATAGACACCTTTTTTGTTGAAAAATTTCAACTTCAAAATTTGACCTTTTTTGACCTGAAAGTGACCTGACCTAAGCTAAATTCGACTCAAAATGACCTCGAATGACATAGACGACATCAAATTCGAAATCTATGGCCTAAATGGACCATAAAACATGTGTCACGTGACCGACGCATGATATAATATTTTCGTGACCTGTGATGACCTGACCCTGACCTGAAAATCAAAGTACAAGTTTGGTACCCTCAAGGTATCTAGAGCATCTGTTCACAAATGTGGAAACCAAAAATGAGCCTGATCTGACTTGTAAGACGGCGGCCAGAGCCCAAAATGTGAACAAGCCAAAGTGCTAATATTTTTTACTTTGACCTGACCTGTGACGTCATCGGTGACCTCGAGGTCAATGAAATTAGGTTTCGCTCGACAGTTTTTCCGGGGCTATCAGACGCCGTTTGAATTTTGACGATCGGCCCAGTAGTTTCGGAGTTAGGAGGGGGGCTATGAATAGCCCCCCCCCCAGTAGGGCGTGTTATACACAGACCCCAGTGGGGCGCGGGTTAACATCCCATCATCCTTTTCCAGGGGTCCAACCTGTGCTCTCACATTTGAACGACATCTTACATATTTGTATAGCTTACCAGGGTTTGTTTTCAAGTCTTCAGTAAGTTTTGCTTCATATTCGGACCTCGCTTTCCGCAACATACAAGTAGTTCGGTTTCTCTGCTTAGCATATGCTTCGTACTCTTCACTTCTCTTGGTTCTCGCATATTCCTTCCAGGCTTTATGCTTATACTAAAACTATCTAACTAGGTCCAGTTTTTTAGGAAAGATCGGCAAAATATTGCCCCATTGCTTTAACACGGGGCCGTCAGCTGATAATGCCCCAGCCACTTATCGTGACGTCACGACTTTGGTTGCGTATAGAGGTGTTGATAATTATATTTCTTTTGGTATATTCTGTTATCATTGTCGTAAATGTATTATAATTTGAAAAAAAAGAACAAACACACACAGAAGAGCACAAATTATGATTCTTGTGATGTAACAAAATTTGACAAACCTTTGCAGTTTGCACATTGCTTACCGCCTTTCGCTGCCTGGTCCAAGCTAGAGGGCGGTGTGAAGCCTCCGTCAACGGACCCCTCCGATTGCAGAATGACAAAGCGCACGAGTGCGAGCTTACTGCGGTGTCATGGCAACTGAACCGCGCCCACGATAAAACGCGTAATGGTCGGGTTGCATTCAGTGATACCAGCGCCTCCAGCGGAGACTTTCGGAGGTACGACACGAGGCAGGTTAATTATTTCTGCGGAACAAAGGAGGGACAAACTAACGTAAAATCGTTAAGGCGTTACGTTCCAAGGTGCACAGGCGCCGCCAGCATAGCGGAGGGAATGTGAGATAACCTGTTAACCAGTGGCGTAGCCAGAAATCAGCGAAAGGGGGGGGGGCATGGTGCTCGAGGGGGCGACTTTTTCCCTTGAGAGGGGCGCCACTGTCAGCTAGTGAAAGGGGCTGTTTTAACCAGTCTTCCCTTCCATGGGGCGTCAGTCTAAAATGTAACGTCATGTTAATGCATGATTTTCTAGGTGTTGCAAAACACGAGTATAACTAAGAACCAGGTTTCGCTGATTTTTCATAAAATTCAATTAATCCAATTTGCCGCCCGGTGTTTTTTATCAAAACACCTTGATCTTGATGAATATTTAGCACGAAATGGGAAACGATCTCAGGCTTCGGACATTTTATTCGCAAAATAAGCATCCGTAACCGTAACCCCCCCCCCCCCCTTTAGCACGGCGTGGGTTAATGGGAGAAAATTAAAATGCTCTTCTTCTGAAGAACGAAAACACTCTAAAACATCGGGATACAGATAAACATGGCACATTTACTCGGAAAATTTCACTCGTGATGTGACCACATTTATATTACTGAGGTCATCTCAGGTCATAAAAGGACTCCATTAGGTTTTGGACAAAACTTGATAGATACATATATGGTAGAGCAATGAAACACCTTATATAATTATTTTCCTTCTCGACAATACGAATCGACTAATATGCAATATGACCTTTCCCGGTTAGGTGATGACCTTCACCTTAGGTCAAATTCTCAAAATGCCCTTTTAACCCTCGCCGGCCGAGGGGGGGGCGGGTGCCGCCCCCCCCATAGGGTTTTTTTTTCGCGATAGCTCCGAACACGCTGCCGATAGAGAGCTGAAACTTTGCATACCTGATCTTTGATCCAAGCCGCATCTTTTGACACCAACCGCATTTTTGGGTCAGGTCAGGTCACTGACCTATGACGTCATAAGTGAACCTCTGCACGGTCTTCAGATGTCGCAACTTCGCAACGCCCTCACTGCCAGAGGAGATGTCACAGGGAAATGAAACTTGCAGGATCTAGTATCCATTATGAGTCTCACAACTTAAATATCTCGGATTTTTCCTAAAGGTCATATGAGGTCAGGTCATTTTCGTGACCTCACCTTTAGGTATAAGTCAATGGGGAAAAATGAAAACTGCTATTCTGGCGCCGGGAACGATCTCCAACTATCTCAAGCACACAGAATCGTGAGTTGATGCACTCCTTGCAAGGTTAGATGCGTCACTTTTGCAATGTTGACCTTCCCTGACGACGTCATCAAGGTCATATTAGTTTTTCGTCAATAACTCCCGATCAAATTGAGCTAGCGAGTCGAGAAAGCCACCAATGGACTCAGGAAGACCTGCCGAATCGAATGATATGCGACATGACCTCTTTCGACCAACTTCGTGACCTGGGGGTGCTGACCTGACCTTGACCTGAGGTCAACACCCCAAGTTGACCTGACCTAGACAAAAAGTATATCATTCGACGCGCCTGAGCGAGGTGAACACGATGCTGCCAAAATCGCGGCTCTACGGCCGTTTTTTGCGAAGTTATTCACCAAAAACTGAACCGAACCCTGGGGCACTTGACCTGACCTCAGAGGTCACCGGTTGACCTAGGACCTTAAAATCGGGTACCAGTCTCTGCGTCTCGTAACGGCGCACACGCTCGTTTTTTCCGCGACGCGCTAGCTCCACCAGGGGCGAAACGGCGAGGGGAGGGGGGTCGTACCCCCCACCCCCCCCCCCCTCGGCCGGCGCGTATGTAGAAAACCAATAGGTCCGGCGAGGGTTAATGTCAAATTCTAGTTCATTTGACTCGTCTAGAAAAATGAAACACGATGCCGGTTCACCCACGCCTTGCTGGGGGGGGGGGGGGGTGAACACCCATCCTGCGGTTTTTCGCGAATATCCCAAACACGGCGGCGCTTCGCGCCGCCGTTCTTGATACACCTTATCATACATCTGTTTTACATTTGTTGTGAAAATTTCAGACCCAGGTCACTAAAGGTCAGTTCACCAGGTCAGTTCAAGTGACCTCACTACATCAAAAGTTTCAATGTCTACTAAGGCTACACCGAGTGACCGATCGCTTTAAAACTTTCAGAGATTGAGAAGAGCAGCATTTTGTACAAAATTTTTGTCTTCGAATTTTGATATCGATGACCTTAGGTCAGGTCAATTTTGCGAGCTCCCCATTATAAGTCAATGGGAGAAATTTGGAAGTCGTCTTATCTAGACGGAAGTCATTCTAAACACTCTAAATCACTGAATTACTGGTATCTTTGACACACTGAACATGAAAATGGCTACCTTGACCCCTGAGGTCATCTCAGGTCACCAATGGTGTCTGACTGTTTTTCGCGAATAACTTTTGATATGGCATACTAAAGCGGTGAAAACACCTTAGTTGTGTTTGGCTCGACGATACGGATCGACTGATATGCAACTTGACCCTTACCGGTCAGGTCATGACCTTGACCTGAGGTCAAATTTTCCAGTTGATCTTTCAAGGTCAAGTGATAGTTCATTCGACACGTCTTGACGAGGGGAACACGATACTAGTAAAAGAACGTTCTTGCAAGGTTCGAGTCAAGAGCTATTGCGGAAAAATGGTTTCCGAAAAAATCGGCAATTTTGGTACTTTTAGTCCCCTGCAGGCAAAACCGTTGACGGTAGGTTAAATCCGAGAGAATTACTCAGAAAGAGCGTAAATAGGGCTATAAAATGCGCTTTTCCGCGGCGCTGCACCTTTATTAGCTTCCGAGCTGTGCGTCAATTTGTGGAAAATTGTCGACATCTGACTTACAAATCGGCGAATTTTGGCCTTCAATGACCTCTGGTGACCTGACCTTTGACCTGACCAAAAAAGTGACCGTAGTAATTTCTTCCTTACTTTCCACACTCTTTCGAACGCCGCCTTTCCCGTATCGCTACGTGGCCCAGGAGCCGAGTTAGAGAGGGTTGGGTGCTCAACCCCCTCCCCCCAGCAGGGCGTGGAATTCCAGGACCCCCTGCAGGGCGCGGATTAAACTAATCTCGTGCAGGTCTGAGCCAAAAGGTATTACATTACAGATAAAATTCCTCCGCGAAAACGTTTCTTTTGAGGATAAAACGTTTATCTTAGGTCAAATCTGAGATAATTAATCAGAAACAGCATAAAAAGAGCTATCGAATGCGCTTTGCTGCGGCGCTGTAGCTCAATCTCTTTCTGAATCCTGACTTTTGCGCCGTTTTGTCGAGAAAAAAATGTCAGATCGGCGAAGTTTGATTTTCGGTTGTCTCTGGGGACCTGACCTTCGACCAGTTCGACCTAACCTTAAAAATGATCTAAGTAGGTTTGTAATAGTTTTTGACGCTCTTTCGAACGCCGCCTACTGCGTGTCTCCACGTGGCCCACAAACTGAGTTAGAAGTGGGTGTTCAAACACCCCCAGCAGGTTCAATTAAAAAAAAAAACGCGTACGCTGGGGGCGGCACCGCACTGCTAGGCGGGGGCAGCATCGCAATAATGTGCGGCACTGCGCTGAGAGGCACCACTTGCATTGAGGGGTAGCATTGTACGGTGAAGGGGTGGCGTCGTCCCATTGAGGGGCGGTATCGCAACGAGGGGTGGCACAAACGAGGCTGCCTTATAAGAAACGCTTGGCACATCCTAGCCCAGCTCGGCGACCCCTGGCTGCTGCACTGAAAAGGGCTCTTGGTGTCGATGAGAAAGCCCCATTGTCAAATTATTACCTAGCGTCAGTGGTTTCGGGGGGGGGGGGCGCTATCGATCTATGTAGAATGGGGCGGGGTGACTGAAGTCTCCATTCAGATGGGCGTCTGTGACTACTGGAGGGCGCCAACGACCTCGGATAGGGCGAATGTGATCTTCAGAAGAACACCGGGTGCTCGAGTACTCTAGAGGGGCGCCATCAACCTTTACTGGGGCGACTGCTCCGTTCAGGTAGGTGCCAGCGACTCTACAGGGGCGCCATCGACCCTGGGGGCTCGGAATTTCTGGTTTCCGGAGGGGCGCCCTTAAACATTGGGGGGGGGGGGGGGGGCTCAGGTCCTATTTCGGGGTGCCCTGGAGAACATTGGGGTGTCCAGGCACCCCCAAAGAGATATTTAGTTCGATCCCTGTCTGCACATCTCTTTTTAATTCATGTTCCCTCTGTAAAACGGCATCAGCCTATTCGGCGCTAATTGGGGCGCCATCTGGGCGGCTGGGCGGAAAGGGGGGCCATGGCCCCCATGCCCCCCCCCCTGTCTACGCCACTGCATAGGAAACTGAGTTAAAGGAAATATGTCACTTCCCCGAAAATTTTTGTTACAGTTCTATGATTTATATGCTTAAAATGATCAGAAAAGAAAATATATACTGTTTACAAATAGATTTTTGAAATATTTGCTTAAAGGAAGAACTATATTCCATATTTAGTGGAGGCTAAATAGTGTTCACAGCGCAGTAGCCCAACACTATATGTAATGCAGTAGCGGCCATTGGGCCTGGTGTCATATTTGACGCGGTTAAAACATTCATGGCGCAGTTTCCCGCATTACAGGCACTGTCCCTAGTCCAGCTCAATCTCGCAAGACACGTGGCAGAGGGAAGGTGTGTCTGGCTATCTGGGGCGAAAGCAAAGGGTAAGTTCTTCCATTAATATATATTAAACCGCGAGTAGGTAGAACAAATCCGTCGAGCCGATAGGCGAGACGTTTAAAAGATTTTTCTGCCTACGAGCGGTTTAATAATTTCATCCCGTACCGCCGATATCTTTCGGGCGCTTAACCTTCG